GCGGGAGGAGGAGGAGGAGGAGGAGGAGGAGGACGCCACCGAGAACCGCTACTTCGAGATGGGGCCCCCGGATGTGGAGGCCGAGGAGGGCGGCCCCGGGGCGGAGGCACGGGGCGCCGCCGCGGGCGAGGAGGAGCGGCTGGCCCTGGAGTGGGCGCTGGGCGCCGACGAGGACTTCCTGCTGGAGCACATCCGCATCCTCCGGGTGCTGTGGTGCTTCCTGATCCACGTGCAGGCCGCCATCCGGCAGTTCGCCGCCTGCCTGGTGCTCACCGACTTCGGCCTCGCCGTGTTCGAGATCCCGCACCAGGAGTCGCGCGGCAGCGGCCAGCACATCCTGTCGGCCCTGCGCTTCGTGCTCTGCTTCCCGCACGGCGACCTCACCGAGTTCGGCTTCCTGGTGCCCGAGCTGTGCCTGGTGCTCAAGGTGCGGCACGGCGCGAACGCGCTGTTCATCATCGCCGACGCCGCCAGCCTGCGCGACTTCCACGCCGACCTGCGCTCGTGCTTCGCGCCGCAGCACCTGGCGCTGCTGGGCAGCCCCGCGCTCTACGGCGGCCGCGCCAGCCTGCAGGAGTTCCTGCGCCAGCTGCTCGCCTGCTACCAGGTGGCCGGCGGCGGCCAGGAGCGCAGCCAGGGCTGCTTCCCCGTCTACCTGGTCTACAGCGCGGGCGCGGCCGGCATCGAGTGGGCCAGCTGCACGCTCTGCTCGGCCGTGCGGCGCTCCTGCTGCGCGCCCTCCGAGGCGGTCAAGTCCGCCGCCATCCCCTACTGGCTGCTGCTCACGCCCGGGCACCTCAACGTGGTCAAGGCCGACTTCAACCCCATGCCCAGCCGCGGCGGCACCCACGCCTGCCGCCACCGCAACAGCTTCAAGCTCAGCCGCGTGCCGCTGTCCGCCGTGCTGCTGGACCCCACGCGCAGCTGCACCCAGCCGCGGGGCGCCTTCGCCGACGGCCACGTGCTCGAGCTGCTCGTGGGCTTCCGCTTCGTCACCGCCATCTTCGTGCTGCCCCACGAGAAGTCCCACTTCCTGCGCGTCTACAGCCAGCTGCGCGCCTCCCTGCAGGGCCTGAAGACCGTGGTCATCGCCAAGGCCCCCGGCCCCCCGGCCCAGGCCGGGGCCAGGTGAGGCCCGTGCGTGCGTGCGTGCGTGCGTGCCCCCGGCAGCGGCGGCCAGTCGCTCCGCTCCTCGGGCCCGCCCACTCTTGGCTGTTCCTCCCTCCAGGACGCGGAAGGGACCTACAGGGCCCTCCACCGCGGGGCCCCACGCGCCCCCACTGATACACTCAGGCTGCGCCCTCCACTGCGCCTGGGGGGGTGGGGAGGCTCTGCCGCCCCCCCTGAGAACCTGTCCGCAGCTATAAGCAGCGAGGTCGGAGCGGGGCCCTCAGGAACCCATTGGGTCTAGAAGCCACTTTCCTGGGTGCAGAGCAGCGTGGTCACGGGCGTCCCCTCTTCAACAGCCGCTCCGGGGCCGCCTCAGGGTTCACCCCCGCGGGGTCCCGTGTCTCCCTGGGCTTCCTTTGTGCGAGGACTTATGCCACAGGGATGTCCCTGGCTGGAGCTCAGCTGCTACTGAAGGGCTGGGGACAGACCCCAGGACCCAGGCCTCACAAAGGCTGCCCACCCTCGGCCAGGACAGCCAGGCAGAGCACGTCCACTGCGGGAACACCACTTTTGGTCTGTACTGTACTGTGTGTACACACACACACACACACACACACACAGGCACATGCACCACACAGGGTGCAGAACAGCCCAGGGTCTGCTTGGGGCATCAGATGTGGGCCAGTCAGGCGAGGGTTAGTCCCACGAGCGAGGCTGCAGGTTCGGGTCCCCAACCTCAGTGAGCTTATCTTGTGAGGGGCCCCGTGAGCCACGTGCACTGGTCCTACAAGGGGCAGTTTGAACCTCTGGTTCATGTTTCCACAAGCACCCGCCAGACCCCTGGGGCACCTGCCCATGCTCCAGACCCTCAAGGGGTGCCTCCCACACCTCTGCCACCGCCTCCAAAATGCCCTTCAGCCCACTGACCCCAGGTGTCCGCTGGGTCACTGATGGAGCTGCCCGACTCCCTGCCCTTCCAGAGAGAGCGGTGGCCGCGTCCCGGGGTTAGCCTGAGGGAGGGTCGTGCAGCCCACACACCTGCACTGGGCCTGTGCACCTGTGAAGGCCCCGGAGTCCACCTGTTGATGTTGTTTCTTGGGGTCTGGGTGATACAGAAATGACCAGCGTCCTGAGGAGGCCCCCAACCCAGCAGAAGTCCCAGCTGTGGCTCCAGCAGAGGCTGAAGTCCCAGACCCAGCGAAGGACCCAGCAGTGGCCCCCGCAGAAGCCAGGACCCCAGCACTGGAGCCTGCAGAAGCCGGGGCCCCAGCAGTGGCTCCTGCAGAAGCCGGGACCCCAGCACTGGCTCCTACAGAAGCCGGGACCCCAGCACTGGAGCCCACAGAAGCCGGGACCCCAGCAGTGGCTCCTGCAGAAGCCGGGACCCCAGCACTGGCCCCGTCAGAAACCAGGACCTCAGCACTG